TCGCGGGCACACGAAGAACACGTGCTCAGCATCTTCGATTTCGCCCAAACAATATGGGCAATCCGGCGAGCTATCGTGCTTGAATCGGTATAGGTAGGCTCAAAAACAGCCATGCCCCGATAGCATTTGCGTAGTATAATAGTTTACTTCGCCGTGCTTGCGACTTAGCCAGACTTTGATGTTAGGAATGAGACGATGCGTCCATCTGCCCTTTACAGCGACATCCCACAGTCGCTGCCATCGGTCAATGCTGTTCTGCCGTTCTTCTAATCTTAACTTTTCAGGACTCAGTTGTTGATGTCTTCTATGGTAAATTGTCCGTCTTTCCTCTGCTAAGACTAAGAGAGGCACAGTTCCTGAAATGACGCACACTGCTTCCGCCGAAACTGTGCGAAATGCGCAAGCAATTCTTATAGCACTGAGACGGTATAAGGGCCCTGCCATTCTCCTCGATTTTTGAGATTTAAGAGCATCACCCCATATGGAGATACCATATGTCAGCACCGAAGTAATAACTGACGATAGTAATATCCTTCTGGTTTGTTTAGGACCTCCAATATTAGGCATCAGTCGAGCAAGTTTCGTCCTAACTATTGACGCCTTAGCACTAACGTGTTCCACCTGTTGATTGACCTATGTAAAATATAATATACTGATGGTTATTTTCCACTAATTTTGAAGAATAAACTGGAAAAATTTTCTATGAATTTATTGAAGAATGGATAGGATTTATTAAAGATCCGGGGTTAATAAGACCCACCACCAATATCTCAAAAACCACTAAAGTTAGGCATTGTTTAAAAACAATATTTGAAAGTAAAAAGATGTATAACCAGCTATAACCTTGATTCTCATGACTTTGCTATCGGGAGATAAACGGTAATCTTTGAAAATCCATAATAAAAGTTGGTAGTTTTTTATCATTAGTTAAAGTGTAATTATTTTGTAAAATACCTTGAAATTTAAAATACGGCATTAAACCTGTTTGCCACCTGGCCGTTCTAAGTTACTCCGCCTATAGGAATAAAGGTCTAGATAACAAATTTTTGAAATACAGCAAAAAAGCACCGTTCTACAATGATGAAATAGCTGGCAGTTTTACTGAACGTAGTCAGATAATTGTCCGTTTGAAATGTGTTATTTGTTATGATATAATTGGTTTGATTATTATATTATAATTAATATTTGCTCAAAGTCAAACTGGACTTTTGTGCCTTGCTTTGGTCTACATATATACTTTTTATTGAATTTACTTTAATTCATCGAATGTTACTTGAAACTTTTCAAAAACCAGGTCAAAGGGAAAACACTTAATTCATTTTCTATCTCTCCTCGCAGAAATTTGAAAATTTTGTATAAGCTGAGTAGTATTATTTACAATTATAAATCCAGAATCCAAAAAAATCTGAAAAACTTGAAACGTCATCAATAAGCCGAAAGACCAAAAAAGACTTGGATGGATTATACTATGTTTTCTATAGAAAGTGTATAAATTTTCCAGTTTGATTGTATTGACAAAATATAGACAAATTAATGGGGTTTATTGTTTTTATATTACCTTATTGTGTATAGCATTGCATTCAAACAACACATCCTTATACACGTATTAATATTTTTGATTCTCTAGAAATTGTTTAGAATATACCTTACTTAGCAAAACAACGTTTGCCGGGTCATCTAGTATATATATATATATATATATATATATATATATATATATATATATATATGATAAAGTTGTTCTTGTGCATCCATCTAGTAATTAAAAACAATTTTATTGAAGGAAAATGTTTTTATTATGAAAACATACGTTTCGGGTCTTGATTTGATGAATCTTCAGTGCTACATTAAAATATATTTCAGGGTTACAATTTAAAACAATATAAAAAATACACAATTACAGTAAAATATTAATAAAAACGAGTAAAAAAGCATAAATCTTATCAATTTAATAAATTTGTTTTATAACAAATATATATTGTGAAAGTATATAAAAGTGAAAATACAAGAATAAAAATAAACAAATGTAAAGAAACTCACCTCAATCAAGACCCGATACGTATGTTTTCATAATATAAGCATTTTCCTTCAATAAAACTGTTTTTAATTATTGGATGGATGCCCAAGAACAACTTTATCATATTATTTCACCATCTGAAGAAAAACCTATCGCTTTATATATATAACGGCAAGCGTTGTTTTGCTAAGTATGGTATTTCTAAACAATTTCTAGAGTTTAAAAAAAGAATACTTTATTTTAGGAGTGTAAGGATTTGTTGTTTGAATGGTGCCGACAATGAGGTATTATAAACACAATAAACCCCAAAGTCTACTTGTATAATAATGAATTATGTAATTCATAATAACAATATTTATTTGTCCATATTTTGTTATTACAATCAAACTGGAAGTTTTATACACTTTCTATAAAAATGTGGTATAATTCAATCCAAGTCTTTTTTAGTCTTTAGTCATGGTCAATGTTCAGTTGGTCATTTTTGCCCTGGTTTTTGGGATATTGGTGTTGGACTTTATTAACCCCGATTCTTTATATATTACTATCCATCCTTCGATAAATTCATAGAAAATTTTTCCAGTTTATTCTTTAAAATTAGTGGAAAGTAACCATTAGTGAATTATATTCTACATTGCATTATCCAATGATTGCTGAAGTTTTTCATCGTTTTCAATTTGTAGAGTGATTTAATGAAACATGGACGATACCAGACTGTGTCTAAAATGCATGGATTTTGACATATCGTTTGGAAGGAATTCCTTCAAAATTGTAGGACATCAGTGAATCATTTTTCTGCTGTACTTGTTCTTGTACCGGAACTGTTCATACATTGAATTGAATGCGAGCATTATTATCAATTTTCAAAATATTTTATTCCAGAGAACTTGTAATTTTGTGCATTGATTTTTGCAGGTGTGTGTTCCAAAGTTATATTATCAACCAAATCTTCTTATTAAAGTTGTGGTCTGTTATTTGACAAAATGTCCCTTTTGATCAATTCCAAATTCAGACTTTTAATTTAAATAATCTAAATAAAATAATAATATAATCTAGAAAATATTTTATAAATACTAATGAATATAAAATTATGCAACTAAGACTGAGCCCAATCCGTACAGCCATTTTAACGTTTTACCCCGGATTGTTATATAGCTATATAAAATTGACATTTCTTCTTTATGAATTTGATTGAACATATGTACATTTTCAACATGAGTACATATTGCGATAAATTCCAATGTGTTTATTTTGATTTTCCTTTTTTGCGACCGTGCATCCAAATTAGTGGCATCTTTGTTATCACCGTGACTTGTATGTAGTATGCTCGGGAAGTAATTGAAAAAGACCCGATCAATAACGCCATTAGTATTGGAACAACATAAGGAAAAATCTGTAAAAAATTTATTATTACAATGTGGAATGTGTCTAACTATTTTAAATTTTTCATTGCCAATTGAAATGCTGGAAAAAGTTCTTTCTATGCATTAGAAGGCCTATTTGGATGATGAAATCATGTAATCTAATGCATATTCGTACTTTTGATACTTTTCATTATTCTGTGTCAAACCCTAAAAATATAAATGTCATGGACCATATAACTACAAAACTCATTCTAGTATTGCAATGAAAAAATTGTATTGTAAATAGATTGTATTGTATATATTCGAAATGATTACTTCCATATCTATTTAAACTGTACTTATGTCGATGTCACATAACATAATCTGAGCTTTATAAGCAATTTTCAAACAACTTTGTTTCCGAAGATCTTGTACTTATATGTACACATAATTGAGATTTTTATGAATATGATTTCTAAAATTACTATCTGTGTTATAATCCTATAAACTTGCAATAAGTGATTAGACAGAAATGTCTATGGTGTCCCCTTCGACGAATTCCAAATTTAGGATCTCAATTTGAGTAACCTAAATGTAATAATAATATAATTCATAAATTGTTTTGGTATCACATTATTCACAATTGTAATGAAAAATTTGTATTGTAAATAGATTGTACTGTAAATATTTGTAATGATTACTTCCATATCTAATTAAACTGTACTTATGTTGACGTCACATGTCATAATGAGATCTTCATAAGCAATTTTCAAACAACTTTGTTTCCGAAGATCTTGTACTTGTATGTACACATAATTGATATTTTTATGAATATGATTTCTAAAATTACTATCTGTGTTATAATCCAATTTTCTTTTTCATATCGCTGTCTATTATAACTTGCAATAAGTGATTAGACAGAAATGTTTATAGTGTCTCCTTCGATAAATTCCAAATTTAGGATCTCAATTTGAATAACCTATATGCAATAATAATATAATTCAGAAAATGCTTTGGTAACACATTATTCACATTAAACCAATAAGTACTTGCACAGCACAGTGTTTGAAACAAATTTATTTATTTATTTTTTCATAAGCAAGCCTTAATCAATAATAATAGTATTATTTCAAGCTGTTGATAAAAGAATACAAATAGGCAGTGAGCAAACACTTGAGAATTAATTGAAAACCTTATATAAAATCAAAATAAGCATGCCTATTAACATTTAAAAATATATAAATAATTAAATTTTAAAATTAAAAGAATAACACATAATCTGTTAATCTGTTTTTTGTCAAACTTGTCAAAACCATTTGACATGTGAGTAGAATTCATCTGTCATTTGGATAATATTGTGTGGGAGGCCATTTTGAATCAAGTGCTGTTTACCAAAAACTTTCAAATTAAAAATGTAAAGTTTCTACGCAGATTTGAGATAATTTCTCACCTTTTAGACTTTCTCTGGATTGGCACGAGTTTTTCAAGACTAAGACTGGAAAATCGATTCAGCCGTTTTCGAGTTTTACTTAGTCATTTGAAAGAGAGCTCCATTTTTATATATAAGAATATATATATATATATATATATACATATATATATATATATATATATATATATATATATTATTCAATTTCTAGCAGTGGCGTAGTTGGTGTGGGACCAATATTTTTCAATTTACCTCCTGGAAACAGTCATCTAGGAAACGTTATGCAACTTCATTGTCAGACGGGATATTATATAGCTATAACAGAGAAAGCCAGGGTCATAGGAATTCGCGCCGATGTGAAAAACTTACCCAATCATTCAGGTAATTTTATATACAAAACTCACTGATGTATAACCTGGAAAATCTATAATTCTTCTTGTATATTTGTCGTTTTTTTATGAATTAACATTGGAAAGATGCCGGATATCTTGACATAAATGAGACTAGTTTTTGGTAATTTTAAAGCAGACGGTATTTGAAACTTTTGATAAAATTAGATATAGTAAGACACATAGGAGTAAATACATTTTCAAAAGCGTAGAGCATTGTTAAAAGGGTATGGGCGTGTTTCCATACAGAATTGGCCCCACCCTGGTATTCAAATGATTTTGATGCCATTTTATAGGTATTTTCGAGAAAATCCGATATACCAAATTTCAAATACGTAGCTCATCATTTGGCCGAGATATAATTGAAAATGTGTGAAAGTGGCTCCTTTTTTCAAAGTCGTTTTTTGTCGCAAGTGTAAAAGATATCGACAAACAAAATAACGCCATTCTATTAACGGCGGTACTATATTATTATTAATAAATATTGTTTAATAATTATTTTTTAGTGCAAGAAAAAATAAAAATAATTTTTTGTTTTGAATTTTCGGGTAGTGGACTAATTTTCAATTAGCATCATTAGAAAGGATATTCAATTTTCTTTTACAGTCCAAAATGTTGTTTTATTTCATGTGGTAAAACGCATTGAAAAGTAGAAAAAACCTGAGCAAGTACACGCTCGCGCTCATATAACACCCCGTAAGTCGTCTCTGATTTGCAACGACTAGCAACAGCATTTAATATATTTGTGACTAACTTAGTATACTTGCCATTCTATATATTGCTGTAGCATGAATAGAAATCATATACCGACATACTATTATTATGTATATTTTTTATCAATCTATTTTTTATTTATTTAGTGATAATTGTATGAAATATCAATCATATAATATACTTGTTAACTTCCCGTAGGGCAAGTTATAGTAATCGCAAAAAAATCGAAAATAATTTTTTTTATATATCTTTATGTTTCAAAGGTTTCTGAATATTTTGGCACACCTTAGAAAAAATTGATGTATGTGTGTGTGTATGTATGTGTGTGTGTGCGGATACAAACTTTCGTCGACGATTTCGGGAACACCGATCAACCGATTTAAATAATTCAAAAAACATTTGATTCGTACTGATAAGGAGACGTGCTGATTAGTTTTTGGCGGTGACAGGTCTAGCCGTTCCGAAGATACGGGACAAATAGTGCCAAAAACGGTAACACGGTTTTTAAGAGAACGGAGTTCGATTTTAAAAATTCAAAAAATATTTTACTTTCATTAACAAGATAAAGAACTGATAAAATTTTCATGAAGGCAGGTTTAGCAATTTCGGAGATCTAGTAAAAAAAGTAAAAAAAAATGCCAGTTGGCGGTCAAAAATGATCATTAGACATATGCACATGAAATTGTTAGATATTTTATAGAGATTTTAACAATAAGTATAAATTTTGTTTACATTTTTATGGGTTCCGTTTGAGGGTGATGCGGCGCTTACGCGCTTTGATATTTCGTCTCTATGCAGTAAAAGCAGTACGATTACTTTGAAAAAAGTTCAGAATTTTCAAAATATTTCAAAATAAGTTTTTCTTCAAAAAGTCTTTTTTTTCAAAAAAAGTAAATTTTTATCAAAAATGTACAGTTTCTCAAAAATCTAATTTTCACAGTTTTTCAAAAATGTTAATCTTTTTAAAAAAAAATAATTTTTGCTACGGGAAGTTTCAGCAATTGGCCTTAAGGCACGTTGCCATGCGCCCCACTAGTTTAACTTCCCGTAGGGCAAGTTATAGTTATCGCAAAAAAATTGAACATTTTTATATATCTTTACGTTTTAAAGATTTCAGAACATTTTAGCATACCTTAGAAAAAATGGATGTATGTGTGTGTGTGTGTGTGTGCGGATGCAAATTTTCGTCGACGACTTCGGGAACACCGATCAACCGATTTGAATAGTTCAAGAAACATTCGATTCGTATTGATAAGGAGACGTGCTGATTAGTTTTTGGCGAAGGCAGGTCCAGCCGTTTCGAAGATACGGGGCAAAAAGTGCCAAAAATGGTAACTCAGTTTTTACGAGAAAAGATTCGATTTTAATAATCCAAAAAACATTTTACTTGTATTGATAAGATGAAGAATTGATCAAATTTTCATGAAGGCAGGTCTAGCGGTTTCGAAGATCTAGTAAAAAAAGTAAAAAGAAATGCCATTTGGCGGTAAAAAATGATCATTATACATATGCACATCAAATTATCAGGTATGTTATAGAGAATTTAACAATAAGTATAAATTTTGTTTACATTCATATGGGTTCCGTACCAATGTTTAACCGTTAGACGGCGACGCGGCTCTTACGCGCTTTGACGTTTTGTCTTTATGCAGTCAAAGCAGTACGATTACTTTGAAAAAAAGTTCAAAATTTCCAAAATATGTCAAAATGAAGAAAATATTTTTTTTTAAAAAAAATTTTTTTCAAAAAAAAAGTAATTTTTGTCGAATTTATAGTTTCTCACTAATCTAATTTTTTCGAAGTAATTTTTTTTCAAAAATGTTAATTGTTTTTAAAAAAATATATAATTTTTGGTACGGGAAGTTCCTGCAATTTGCCTTAAGGCACGATGCCATGCGCCCCACTAGTTCAATATATAAGTAATATATATTCAATTATATATAAATATAATTATTATTATACACATACATATAAATATATAATTATTCAAAATATAAACGTATATAACCATATGCAGAGTTTATGAAGACGCGCGGCGAGCAGTGCTGTTGCTAGTCGTTGCAAATCAGAGACGACTTACACGGGTGTTATATGAGCGCGAGCGTGTACTTGCTCAGGTTTTTTCTACTTTTGAATGTGTTCTACCACATGAAATAAAACAAAATTTAAGACCGTAAAAGAAAATTGTATATCCTTTCTAATGATGCTAATTCATAATTAGTCCAAACAACCGCCACTACCCGAAAATTTAAAACAAAAAATTATATTTATTTTTTCATGCCCTTAAAAATAATTATTAAACAATATTTGTTAATAATAATAAAGTACACACCGATGTTAATAGAATGGCGTTATTTGTTTGTCAATATTTTTTACAGTTGCGACAAAAAACGAGTTTGAAAAAAGGGGCCACTTTCACACATTTTCAATGATATCTCGACCAAATGATGAGCCACGGATTTGAAATTTGGTATATCGGATTTTCTCGAAAATAGCTATGAAATGGCATCAAAATCATTTAAATACCAGGGTGGGGCCAATTCTGTATGGAAACACGCCCATACTCAGACGGAGACAGGTTCATCCGTTTCGAAGATACGTGGCAAAAATAGCCAAAAACAGTTTTTGAGAGAACAGAGCACCCGATTTGAATGATTCAAAAAATATTTTACTTGAAATTTTTGGTAAGGCAGGTCTATAAGTTTCGGAAATACAATGAAGAAGTAAAAAAAAAGATATTTGGCGGTCAAAAAAAATCATTAGATAATATGCCCAATAAATTATCAGATATTTGATAAGATTTTTAAAATGTGTACTAATTTTGTTGAGTTTCGTACCCAGATTATTAATTTTTAAAGTTTACTTATACGGTTCAAGCTTATTTCAAAACTTTTAACAAAAATGTTTTTTTTTTTATTTTTCAAAAATATTCACAGTTCTATACTTCAAATATGAACTTTAAATTTACAATTCAGTTTAAAAATGTATATAATTCAAATGCGTCATTCTAATCGTAAGAAAGATGGATTTATTCAGCACCTCTTGCTAATGTTAACTTTTTCAAGTGTTTTGAGCGATAAGATTGTCACTGTATATTTTATGAACGATAAAATATATAGTGATTATAATTATCTATCTGAAAATGTTGAAAACAATTGTTGTTAATCAATATTGTTATTTATCAATATTTCTGGAACGGGAAGTACTAGCAATTTGCGGAGTTTCGGTTAGCAAAACACATTCGGTTTGGACTGTGCAGTTGTGCTGGCTAGTTTTTGCATACCCTAGAGATGATCGGTGTAAGTATGTTCATATGTATGGATTAAATTTGTCGTTCATAATTTGGGAGCACGGATCAACCGATTAAATGATTAAAAGAATATTCGACAAAGACAATACCAATCGTTTTGAACATACGGAGTGAGTTTATATGTTTGAATCCAATTTTTTGTCCATCCAATTATAATATTTACGACCTTTAGCACTACCGTATCATTGCACACATTGATCTCAGACCTCAAAGTGAATACATCGTGATTTAAAAATATTACGTAATCGTAAATCGAACAAGTGAGTGCTATAATAATAATTTACCAGTGTTTTAAACTAAAAGCTACAATTGTATTTTTGCAATTTGTATTAAATGCTTCCTTCGGGGGGGGCCAAAGATTGACTACAATGGAGGATTACCTCTTGTAGAAACGGATAACATTCTGAACGACACATCGAATACGAACACCGAATATGTCACAGGTTTGTTAAGTACATTAAAAAATAAGAATAACACAAATATGGAACTTTCGGATGATGATAACCAACCATCGACCTCACAAGGAATAACGAAAGGTAATGGAACTACTGTAAATAGTGACTACGAGACCAAAAATAGATTTAGCCTTTTAAATAATGACTCTAATGGTCCTGAAGAAGACTTACAATCTGCTAAAAGCAGAAAACGATCTATTAACGGTGACAGGATAGAAAACACATCAGCAGGTAAGATTAAGAGTAAATTACCGAACAATAAATACATAAATGAACACCAGAAAATTAGTAAGGATCAAATACTGTCATAATACCGTGGCATAGAAAATTATTTAATTTCTACATAATAATGAACATGATTACTGCCAAATACAAAAACGACTAACAGATGATAAAATCCAATATTTTACTTATCCATTACAAAGTGATAAAAAATAGTAGCTAAAGGTATACCTCCTATGTTGAAAATGAAGAAATTTATGATTTTCTAAATGAAAGAAATATTAAGGTTAA